GATAGATAGATAGATAGATAGATAGATAGATAGATAGATAGATAGATTACATGTGACTTTCATTAAAATAGTTTGGTGTTTCAAAACACATTACTGAAGAATTCTACAGAAAAGTAGACAGAAAAGTAGAATAATGGCATTTCATTAACAAGAGAATGGCAGTAAAAAAATATTGATTTTTAGATACATCTAGACATAACAATATTTCTTATTTTTGCTTGAATCTTGATTTGTGACAAATCCCTAATTAAAAACATTATCAGAGTCATAAACTTCCTGCTCACCCCTGTGATGACTGCTCCCCTGGACCAGCTCAGAGACAACAGGAGGAAGGACAGCAGCACTGCGCTGATGTCCATGGCTGTGACAGGAGACGGAGACACTTCTAATCCGCTCAAGTGTTAACTGACTCTGCAACACCTCGCACCGGGTCCAAGACTCTTCGGGCTGTTGTGAAGGTTCCCAGATCTCCTCAGACAGAGAGGGGAGCCTCTCTCTCTTCCTCTCTTTATCCACCTGCGACCCCCACCCAACACTTCCTCCTCCCTCCTTTTGTCGGGCATCTCCCCACACCCACTCTGCCTGTCTACTCAGAAGCTTTGTCATCTTATGGATGCTCTCCGTGGTCATCCAGCAGCTCTTCGCCTGTTGTACTGTATGAGGCTTGAGCGTATATCTCTTTGAGTCAAAGTTTCCATGACTTATGCACAGTTTATCAAGTGAAAAGGGCACAGATTTCACAAAGTCCAGAATTATTCATCTGTCTAAAGCAGAAAGGACAAAACAATTCAAAATGAGAATCATGTAGTAAGTAGCAAGCTGACTCAACAACGAGGCTTCATTTTAAAGGGAGGAATGTGATGTTTCTTAATTATTATATCCTGGCATGTACAAATTAAGATATTTATCTCTGTTCAGTCAATAATTAAAAAACATATGGCCGGTTCATCATGAGTGACACTTTTTTTGCATAATTACATATTTTATGGATCTTATTAGGGAAACTGTTCTGTCATGGAGGGAAGTGCAAATACCAAGAAGAAGAAGAATCATTAAAAAAATATCCACATAAACGACAACAATGATAATTTAACTTCATTAAGATGGTCTCTAGAAGCTAAAAAATCTAAAGGATATATATGTTACTGATTTTCCTTCTTAAGTAGTTATCAGTAGAACTAAATAGAAATACAGTTATAACAGTATTTCTTCAAAAAAGGGAATTACTTAGCAGAGATGTTGAAGTGTATGTAATTAATTCACATATTTTGATAAATAGTACTTATATGAGTGAGTAGTTACAGCTGTTACACAGAGATGAGTTTTCAATTGTAAGAAAAGTTTTATGAAGTATTTTTTTGGACAGTGAAGCTTAATATGTTTGTTGGACAATAATCCCCACTATTTTCTATACATGATACAGACTATTATGTCTGCTATCAATGCACATTGTCCACCTACTTGTACACTATGTCAGTGTAAGTATTCCTTTCCAATCTGTTGTTCAGCTGTACACCCAATGTGAATACTCACACCATTCCGTAACTTCAGCTGCTTTGCATAAACTTGTATGCATGTACGTGTTTGCCCATGTGTCTCCCTCAGACAGTGATGGGCAGCTGGTTTAAAGCAGAAGCGGGCAGACCAAGATTTAAGATGCAAGAAGAGAAATATGAGTGGAAGAAGAGGAGCGTCCAAGAGAGAAGAATTAGAGGTAAGGAGGGGCAGCATAGCCTATGGGTTAGTCAGCAGGACATTACCCTGCTGCTACGCAGGTGATGGATTTCTCCAGTGCAGCGGTCACATAATTGCATTCACCCAGTTCTGCCCTGTCAGCAGGAGCACTGATGTCTCACCATCTTGGGGTAGGCAGCAGAAATTATGCAGGAAGGTGAGACCACAGGTCTGTAGCAAACTTTAAAAATAGGCCCACTAGACTTAGTGGGATCAGTTGGATTCTTCAAAATCATGGTATCTGCTCTGGAATAAGAAAATGAATACTGTGTTTTGGTGCAAATTGTAAAAAGGTGTTTGCTTAGTTCAGAATATATGGTTATATACGATTTTTATGCTGAATCATGTTCACACACTTTTTCTGATTCTAGCCTGTCAGGTGGAGATTCTTGAATTCCTGGAGATGATTTCACTTCTGTCTCTGACCAATAACTCTTTTTTTAATGACAGCATGTGGCCTCAAATATTTTAAGCAACTTATTTTAACAGCATCATATAAATGTGATAGCTTGGGCACTCTAGCAAGACACGATGGAAAGTATATTACAAGTACAATACATACTCAAGAGAAGAAAATAATTAAAGTAATGATATTATCAATTTCAAGGGAGGGGTTGAATGACAAAAGTGACAGATCAGGGAGGAAATATAGGACAATGGGGTTGCATTACATAACTAATTAAATTTAGAAGAAATGGTCCCGAAAACATTGATCAATATCTCTACTTAGAGATTTTTCTGTCAAACTATCCATCTATAAAACTATTTTGTCTCATGTTCGTTATATAGATTTTTTTCTGCTTTCCACTTCATCAACACACGTGATGTTATGAATGTTATTAATATTACACGGCCCGTATGTGTTTAAATAATTTATTATCTCTCGTGCTGTCACGTTTTCTTGGCCCTCATCATGCAATCGCGCTTCGCATCCTTTGGTCTTCATCGGAACCCGTAGGACACGTGACATTCACATGATTCTACCCGGAAAAGTTGTGGAAGGGGACAAAAACAAAAACAGACTTCGATTTCCCAGCTATTTCCAATTAAACGACGATGGAATCAACCCTCGAACAGCATCTGGACGACACGTGAGTTCACACCTCTCAGAGCAGAGTTTGTATTTTGCAAAAATTCGACTTTGAAAACGGCCTTTTGACTCCTTTGTGATTTTGGCAGCATGAAGAACCCAGCAGTTGTCGGTGTGCTCTGTACAGATCAACAAGGACACAACCTGGGCTGTAAGAGGACGCTTATCATTTTTGTCTTGATGAATGTTTTGGGGAAAATCCACTCAAAATAATCACTGCCAGCTTTTCTTTTGAGTAAGGGAGAAATCGATAGAGTCGGTTGACTCCACCTTCCATCAGAGTAGCTCTGTTCCAAGTGCGCGTGCTTAACTTTGTAATGGAGAAGCGATCATCAAAGCCAACTCGATATCAAAATCTTCTCCGAGTATCTCATTCTGAGGGTGGTGTGAACTTTGTTTCCCAATGTACGATGCTGTAGCTCTGTTTTCATCTGGGTTTGGTCTCTTAATCTTAATGTTTTATGAACCAATGATTAAGCAATATACCTCGGTGGATTGTGGTGCTACCATAACTCTGTTATATCTTAGATTAGCTTTTATGAAGAAAAAATATATATAAATTATAAGTGTTCCACGGAGCAAGTGGCCATTCATCTTTATCTTGGCCAAAATAAATGGCCATTGTGCATTATTTGCAGTTTAACAACATTCCAGAGACTTTTGCCATTAATCAAGATCATGAGAAAAGAGTGAAGAGATTACAAGAGATTCTGGTGAATAGAGCAGAACATCAGTGACACAAGATCTGCCAGGTGATGAAAGATCTGTGTCAGTTTGAGAGAGGTCAAACAAAAACAAACAAGAATCGCAGAAACTCACATCACACAAACAGTTCAAACAACATACTCACTGGCTCTAATTCTCACTGTTTTTCTCTGAATAGAACTGTTTTATTTAGAAATCCATGTTTCTCTAACAATATTAAACTCTTATTAACTTCTCTTATAATATTATGCAATTTCAAAAAGACAACATGGAGACTCTGTGCTTTAGTGTTTAACTGAAAATAATCTTAGATCACAAAGCATTTCCAGTATAAGGATTTGCTCTGTGAGCATGATGAGATTAGCCTTTCTGACGAGATAAGCTTTTCTGAGAGTTCTTCAGGTCAACAGGAAACTATTGTAATCAAATTCTACCAAAGGGCCCCAAGATACTCACACATCTTCACTATTGAATTGGCAAGAACAGCACATATTTACTTATTACACATATTATCCTTTTTTGTACATTGCTGTCAGTGAGATTTTCATGGTCCAAGACACTGTTCAGCAAAACGTTCAGTATTCTTGAATCTTGGTCATTTCTAAACATCACTATCAGAGTAACAAAATGATGTGACTATTCAATCCATGAACACTCACTTTAACTATTTTTAATGTCAAATTAAGGCAAGCTAATCTGCAAAAGGAACATCAAGAAAGCTTTATTATCTTGATTAGAACTTCGCCTCAACAGTCATCAGCTTTGCTTATAGCTTGAGGCTATTCAGTTCTCTTTAAAATTGGGATGATTTGTCCACAAAATAAGCGAATTGCACAAGGAGATGGACACTTTCAAGTAGCCATTTCCTTGGTTTATAATGCAATTTAAAATGGCAGCTGGCAAGGATGGTCAAGGTCAATCTAGGGTCTGAAGAGAACTTTCGGAGAGAGATGCAAGAAAAGCAAAACTCTCGTTTGACTGAAATCATTTCAAACTGGAAAAAGGATGCTTTCTGCAATATTGACCCTGCAAAAGCAGCAGTGCCTCTGAGAGTCCAAAACAGAGTCATCAAGAATAAAGATTACGTTGAGAGAGTGTCAGAGATAGGATTATTTCCTGGATCACAGTGGTGTGACTCAACTTGTAGTTGACAAATTTCAAAGCATAGGAACCAAAATTGGAAGCAAAATCAGTGTTTGGATGTAAAAAGGTCCTCATTCGGAAGTTTTATCGGCCTTTGATTGTTGTGTGATGTGTTTTTATTCCAGGCCGCGGGTCCTTGTCTGATGAACACGGAGGTGTTGTGTCTGTTTTGGCCAAACAAGCTTCGGCTCTCAGCAGAGATCCAACGGACTCCCCGACGGTGTGCCTGGAATCAGATTCAGGGTGTGGACAGACATTTTCAATTATTTTTTTTCTGTGCAAAGACGTGGCCCCTTAAAAGGGACCCACAGCCAGCTACCGGGCCTCCAGTGGGGGTGGGGGGGGTTCCTCAAGTGTCCAGTGGGTCAAAGCTCGTCACAGTCCAGGAGCATACATACAGAGTTAGTTGGTGATGGTTCACAGTTTCCTGTGTGTGTGAGTGATGTTGTGGGGCGTCCGGTGCGTTGCCCGTTTCGTTCAGTGGCCGCTGGAAGGGATTCCAGCCCCCGCTGACCGGGAACGGACGGAGCTGGGATGAACGGAGGGCTCCTCTGCAGGATCATTCTTGTGGCTTTACTGCCACCTTCTGGACTCTTTTAAAGCATGCGTCAGCCAGAGTAACATCTGCTGTCAAAATTATGTCATCTAAAAATGCACAGACCCGGCACCATTCCTTTCATCTAAATCATGCATTTAAAATAGTTATTTTAAACTGACAAGCGTCAAGCAGGTTCCGATAATCAATCCCTCTGCCCACTCTCACGCATGGTGAATATGCTAAATATGATACACATCCTCAGAATCAGAACGGTGTTTATGTGAAATATGAATGGTTTGGTGTAGAAATTTGTTTTTTGATGATGCTGGATATAAAAGACTGAGGGGTTAGGATAATAGGATTAGCAACTCAAAAAGATATGTTTTTTCCTCAGTTTTGCCGTTACAAATGATGAGATTCAGTTGCATGTTTGTTTGAAGCTCAGATTTTCTTTTTCAATTATCTTTTAGAAACATTCTGGTGAGGAGCCATGGGACCATCACAGTAGCAGTTCACAAGATTGCATCTTGAAGATGGCGGGACTCTTTTATTTTTATTTTTTTCTTTACGTAAAGCTATATCCATGTGAACGGAGAGCATGGGTCACAGAACCAGTGAAAGCTGATTCAACGTTCAGTTGTCTTCTGATTCCATGTTAAAAGTGAGGGACGCTTTTAAGTTTTGTGGCTGCAGCTATGTGAAAGAACAGGTCCTGTGTCATGTGACTGAATATCAGTCCTGTATTTTGTTGTCTGTAAGTCTTGCTTAACAGCAATCTGTCTAAACCCAACCCAACTCACTCATGCACAGAGTAACAACCCCTTAATAAACTTTAACTTGCATTTGAGCTGCCCTCTTATGTGTTAAGTATTCATTATTTTCTCCTTTGCACGTTGTTCCATGGTTAACCAATACAGTTTCTTTGGCAGCTGCGTGACATTTAGATGGAAAACTGTTCCAAGCCTTGACAATCATAAATGTATAGTTACTTATTTGAGCAGGTATTAGAAGGGGGGGGGAACTCGGGCGTTGAATATATCAAAGCCAGTCTGACTGGAGGAAAAAAAAGCTCATTAAAGTGGTTGCGTGAAGACTTTTGGGGATCAGAAAGCCCCGCATGTGCAGTGCAGTGGCTCTGACGTCCCGACCGCAGAGGTTGTTTTTCCTCCCACCCTCTGGGTTCTCAGACGGGGTCCGCTGCTACGTCTCGGTCACGTGGCTCTCCTCGGTGTGGTGTGGGCTCTGCTCTCTGCGGCTCTGCGGGCACAGCCAGCGATGCTGAGGCTGAGGTGGGAGATGCGATCCATCGAGCGCTGCGCGTAGGGCCAAAGTTATGGCACGCTCACCCCGGGAGACCAGAGCACCGCAGCAGTCCGTCCAGAAGCCCCGCACACAAGTCCCGCAGAGAGGCACTGTCCCGGAGAGACCAGCCCAAACAATACCAGTCAGATCAAACTTGTTCTGAACACTGCTCAGAGCGCAAGGCGTGGAGGACGGAAAAGAATTTACAGGTACGCGCTGCTTGCCTCCTTACGTATCGTTGCTTAAGTTTTCTGCTGTCTCCACAGTCAAACAGGTGTAAAAATTTTAGACAGAACCTCTCCCCCATCATCTGGGCTATGCCAGAGTTGTTTATCATTAAACTTTTCACCAGGGTTGCGAAAGGGGGGGAGGTTTGGGGCTCTCTTTGCGCAGAGACGTGGGCTATAAACTCCAGTTTTGAGTGTCAGTCAGCCTGTGGTGGTTTTTTGCATCTGCCTGAGGTCCCCTGTCTTGCCCTCCCAGCAGAGTTGAACTGAGTGAGGGGCGCAATGCAACAGGCCTGTCAAGTGGAGATAACGACTGGTGTACAGCTACACAGGGTAAGAACACTGTTTTCTCCCCACAATAATGCGCTGGACTAAAACCCACAGCTTACATCTCACACCCGCATTCACTACATAATCTCACAATTCCTCACAACCCATGTGTAGATTTTGTGAGGTCGCGTTCATAGTTTACTTGTCCCAACCTTGCTAATTTTTCATGGATAGAGCAGCCGGTGATAATTATATCAAAGGTAAAGTGACCTTAAAAAAAAAAAAAGTAGTTCAGCTTTCAAATCTAAAACCCTGACGGAAGAAAATTGTTAACCCATGATTCCTAATCTGCACCAGAGAAGGTTAGTGGCCTCGTTGAAACTTGCCCACATCCTCATGCTCTCACCATGTAAGTAAATGAGTACCTTTTTTGGACCGGAGTGCTCCTACCATTTAACAAAAGTCCAGTTTGGATCAAAGTTATAAACTTGCTCACCTTTGCCGATCACCCACAGCGTCTGAGGTGGACATTTCATCTCATCGCAGAGTAAGTGAATTTATACGGTCAGCAAGATCAGATTGTTTAATACATGCTGCATGGAAACTAATACTTGGGCTATATGTGGTATACTGTATATGAAGCATCTGAAACTACATTGGCATCTGTTTGCTGATAAATGAACTCTCTATGTCTGATTTCTAGATTGTTATCTAAGGCAGCTTTGGGTGTTTTACATGTCAGAGTGATAATGTGGAACTATTTTGGAAATGTACTCTTTGTTTGACCCACTTTTTCTTTCAAGTGTTTTTCAAGTTTTTCAATCAAGAGACTACTTTTCATACCTGAGCAGTAACCCAGTTAGGACTATCCATTTAAAGAACAAAGCTATGTCAATATTCCAATCATTTTTGGAGGATAAAAAACCTCTGCGGTCATACAATTAAGGCTGTGGTGAGTTGTTTTAAGACAAGCCGAAACAGAGTTTTACCTCAAACTGACAGCTCTAGTTAAACTACTGACATGCTCATTAATCTAACCAAAGAATGTGTAGCTGAATAATACACAAAACATTTCTGTGAACACTGTGTTAAAAATAAATTGGTGAGTAGGGTTTTTTTCTTGAAAGAGGAGGAGCGCACAGCTGTTAAGACAGTAGCTACTTTCTGTAGGTGTAAACGCTTCATTTTATTTCTGACAGGCTACAGTTCAGGTTACAGTAAAGGATCGACCTCTAGCCAACCTAACATATAGCTACAGTGGTTTTCACGCATGATTTCGTGTTTTCAAAGAGTTATTCACATGCCTAACATTTAGGGTTAGATAAAAGCTGTTTCTTGGTGGATCAAGAGAACTGGGTAGGACGAACTTCTCTACTGTGGAATAACCAGGTTTGATTCATCCAACTTTTTCAAATCAAATATCAGTCAAACATCTTAGATTCCCATTGGAATGTCTTATCTCTGAGGGGTGTACTCTTGTACTACAACGCAATTTCAACACACTCAGCAGTATACTTTTCACGTTCAATTGATAAAACTTGAATGAAAAATTTAAAAAATAAGTAGTGGGAACTGCACTAGCAGTTATGGTCTTTGTTTGTTAAGTGTCCTCTTCTGCCTCAAAGTGTGCTTACATAAGAAGGCGTGTTTAACATGACATTTGACACTTTTTCTGCACAAATATAATGTCATGTGAAACGTCATTCACGAGAACGGCCAGTTGTTTGAATGGAGGGGTCTTTAAAAGCAGAGGTCTGTTGCCACACAATGCCAGCGAGGAAAGACATCAGAAAGGGGTTAAGATGATCGACTTCACTACTTTTTGATGTCAATTATTTTAGAGTGAGAAAGATCATTAACGTGGCAGCCATTTAAGACATTTGTTAATCTTCCCAGAAGTTCCTTGTCATCAAATTCACGTAGATCTAAGGCTCCACAGGTTTCTGTTAGCATGTCAATGTTAAAATGTAAAAGTTAACAACGTTCTTACAGGACAAACCAGACTTAAAAAGTATGGAGTGTTTTAAAGATGTCAGGAGCAAACGTCTCTCCTTTCTTAGGTATATGTCCAATATAAGATGATGACAGATTTCACTAAATCTGCATGGTTATTTTCTAATATGATTTGCAAATTAATTCATTGTAGCCTCCTTCTTCAGCTGATCCAGATGAAGTCATTGTTTCATGAACCATTTGCCCAAATTGAGAATAGAATAGAAATCGGGACTTAGGAGTTTTGACGTTACCTGTGGCGGCTTCAGGCAATCTAACAACACAGCATTACTAAAACAGACAGGTAATTCCAGAAGTTCCATTTGGCCCCTAAAGATGTTGAGTTGGAAACTACAGCAAACCAAATGCTGCTTGTAAAGTGTGCAAAAACTCATGAGGATTTCTAGTAACTTTTCCTTTTTAAGTTTCTAAATACAATCATTTTTTTTGGTTAAATGATGGAAACCTCCCCAAATTCAAAACATGCTGACCCTGATCTCCAAAGCATTGTCTCATTTGTTTCCACAACTTAACTGTGTGTTGTGTGGTGTTGGGATCACAACAATTGCCTGAACTGAGTGTTACTGCATTGGTTACCATGATTATGGTCTGACATGAAGTCTATAAGATCACTGGGATGGTGGGGGACACAATTTGTCAGCGGTGGGCCGTCAGGGCCTTCAAGGCCTTCTCTGAAGGCCTAAGAAAATATCTGAATCACAGACTGATGTTAATTATATTTTGTCCATGAAAACTTAAATTAAATATCTCGAAATAGTCTGTCAGCTTCCTTTCATAGCTTTCCCCCTGGTTGCGCTGCTTCCAGACATGTATTTTCACATAAAAGCATTTAACCAATCACATTTCAGACATCCTTTGTCGCTAGGCAGGGTCAAAGTCAAAGATGTCTGCCAGGAGGCCTTCACAATCCGTTCTGCAGCCCCCCCCCACAGAAAATACATGTCGAGTACATTGTTGCTTCAACCAATCAGATTTTAGGTTGGTGATGCCAGGGCCTGCGCGAAGGCCCCGGAAATGCCACCGTACCCACACCCGCTGATTGGATAGTCAGATATCCAATCAGGGCAAAGCTAGCAAACAAACCGAAATATAGTTGTGTTAGTTAGTGTAATAGCTATTTTATTATTTCGTGGCGGATTTACTGTCAAGACCATTTTCAAAACGGACTTTTCAAGAAAATTAAGTGAGTAAAATGTTTTTTTTCCTAAATAATATTGCGAGTTTATGAAGATATTATTGATGTATTTTTATTTTGACTTTGTTTTTTTTTGGGGGGGGGG